GAAAATGGGAAATTTAGAGGCAACTAGTCACTTGTTTGGATGCGCGACAAAAGCATTTTCAGTGTCTCGTAAGTCATGAAGACAATGCCTACACTGGGGACAACCTTGTAATATTCTGGAAGAATCCCTCTATACAAGCCCCTTAGGCCTTCAGTCCGGATTATGTGCTTAAAAGTCCCAACTAAGCCGGTATTATAGATGCGAGCTCGACCACCAGCCCCCTCTAACTGCATCCTTCGCCTCACAAGATCCAGAGGGAATGTTGCTGAAATAACAAAAAGACAAAAGATAATCACACAGAAGAACAATAAATCTGATATTCTTATTGCTAGATCCTAAACAGATCAATTGGAAGTCCTAACATAGTTTGTCATCTATCTGTATCTGAAAACTATACGAGACTTAAAGGCATCGTACAAGGAGTATTGTTCATAAACTACATCAGTATATAAGTTTTTGTTAATTTGTAAAGTATTTGTCCTTGTGGAAATAAATCCTCCACTGTGCATCATCAATTTTCTAATATAGCGATCCATCTTTTGATGGTCCAAACTAGCACCAAATGTCACAGATCACTTACCTGTTGATGAGGCAATGCCTGAAAGACTGCCGCAGGCAAGACTGACCATGACAGTCGAATCATTGGGCCTGAGGTCAGAAGAATTGAAAACTACAATATTACAACTCAAGCAAATAGAGGGGCAATAAACATCACCCAAAAAAATTCAGCCCCAAATCAACCAATTATGCAGTATTCACCTTTCAGACTGCCAAAAAGACCTCAAAGCCTCATAAACTGAGAAGCTTATTGCTATACTGGGCCCAACACCCTGTGCCACAAGAATAAACCAAATGGAAATTAGTGTTAACAAAATAAAGCAACGAAGAATGTGCAGGTTCATAATAAAGCATACCAACAGTGTCGCTCCAAGTCCTTTATACAATCCCAAAAAACCTTCTTCTCTGCAAATTGTATGAAATGCATGCCCAATACCTCTGTAGTATAGTGCATTTCTCTACAAAATTCAAATACACTGATAAAAATCAAACTGAAAAAATACAACGGATGGACAGTAATAAATCATACCTAAGACCAAACTTAATCAACAAGAACTGCAATATCTGAGCAGTACCTGAGCTGCAAGACGTGTCCTCACAAGATCCAGTGGATATGTGGCTGAGGCAGCGGTTAATCCTGCCATCCCGCCACCAAGAAAGTGCACACACATGTCTGTACTTGCATTACCCCTA